CCGGAGTAAAAAATCCACCGATAACGCCGAACGCTCGCTCCGACGAGCTCGCGAAGGCGGAAGAAGGGACTCGAGGGTCGCTCGATGGCGTGATTTTTTAATCTTTTATCTCGAGTCCTACAGGGGCTCCCTCTCAGGGCTCAACCTACAAAACGGGACAATTGGAAGTCGCGGCTGAGAACCCATTCATCAAAACCTGGGAAGCGGAACTGACATGAGCATACATGTCAGACAATGCTTTCACGCCGGAATTAATCAAGGTTCCCACTTTTTAGCATTAGTTAATTGGAGCGATCAGTAACTTAAAGACAAAACGCATTCCCAAAATCTGGGTTATCGGCCGAAATCTGGCCGGATCCGACATTTTCCTTCCACTTTGGCTGTCCACTACGATAGAAATAAAAAAAACTCTCGAGCAGTCTGTCCACCAACGACACAAAATAAAAAGGACTCTTTCGAAACGACTGCCTATGAAATACGACGAAAAACAACGCGTGGTGGTACCCGAAGGAACGACAAGAATTCATTTTTTTTTTCCCCTTCACGAATCTCGACTCATCCATTGAATCCAACGGGTGATCCATCAAGAGGCCCGACGGGCTCGGGGCTTCCCCGGCAGCCGAGGTATGCGGGGACCTTTACGGACCTTTACCGCTCGAAAGCGGGGGTCCCGACCTTTCTTCGGATCATTATGCTCGCTTTTCTCCCACCATTCTCGATCCGTCGTCGACGCCCTATGATTCTCGACCCACACGCGAAAAAACAAAAGACGCTTGTGAATGCTTCAATTGCGCTTTCTCTCCGGGTTCCACTCTACTTCGTCCTCGTCGCGGGGACCTTGCGTAAGCAGTAAAGGTCGGATCGAAACCCAACCCGATCGCGAAGGTCGGAGGGACTTTGGAACCCGGCCACGACGAAAACGGCTCTGAGGATTTTTCGGACCATCATTCATCGAAACCATCATTCATCGCGGGATGACTTGGCAGGGTTACGAGCGAGATACGGATCTACTCCACGGCTTCCTCTCGTTAGAAGAAATCGATTTCACACGCCAGGAAAAAAAGATTCACCGTCAGAAAAAAGAAAGAGATTCACCGTTGGCATGTTAGAATTCCTGCATGTTTCCGAGTATTCAGCGCGAGAACATACAAACTTGGCATCGCGGTAGCTTACTCGGTTTACATTCGCATAAAACTGACACACAAATTTATGTTACTAGCGAGCAGGCTCGAATTTACGGAGATGAGAGGAGTCGCAAAGGATTTATGTTCTTTTCGGCTAATGAATCCAGCGAGACAGCGCAGCGACAGTGGTTTTCTTATCGAGCGGGGAAGGGGGGGAGGGGAGGGGGGGGGGGAATGTCTCGCCCTTGTTTTCTTCGTGTCTCTTTGCGCGGAGAAGAGTTCAAGTACCGGTCGTCGTACCTGCCCCGAAGAGGGAGGAAGGAGAGGAAAAGAAATGATTCATTAGACCCATTAGAAGTCGAAACGGCCGTGACTCACGAAGCGGAATTTTTCCCCGTGGCATGCAGGCTTCGAATCACGTCCGACAGGTTTCTCACATTCGCATTTCAGTGCGAAGGGTGAAAAAAATATATATATTCGGTGCGACGGAGGCGAAAGAGATGAATGGTAAACAGGGACATGATGGACGAGCCTGACCGAAAGTCCTTCAAGGTCATCAGACCTTTCCACACCCCATAACGTCGTACTGCCTCGAAAATATATCTGGACCGAAACGCGAAGAAGATTCTCAGAATAGCCCGACGTATAAAAAAAAAAGGGTGGAAAAGGCGGAGGAAAAAACTAGAGCGAAAGAAATAAACGAGGGCGTTCACCTCCTTCTTTTAGGATTTCAATTCCGTATGAAATGAAATAAAATGATAAAGACGTGGATGTCCATTATGGCATCATCCACGGGTCATTAAAGGTGGGCTTGTGTGAATATTTATCACCTTCGGGGCCTTTCTCTTTTACTCCTCCTCTAATTTTTTTGTGTTTCTTCTCCCTTTTTTTCTGAACGGATCTGGGCTGATTAATATTTCACAGGGAGAGCCCCCCCACTGGTTCATTGATGGATTGATGCAACCTTGAAGGCATGAAATATCCGCCACCATTACTACCCTTCTGGTTGTTCTTTTTTAACTCTCCCTGCCCACCCACGTCCACATTGTCTGATGACCAATACTAATTCAAACGCCCGCAGCAAGAGCCTTTTTTGACGTTTCATTCGCGTGTGGGCATTTGATCGGCTCACCACGCCCGATGGAGTGCATGGAGCCTTATCTGAATGTGACTCCTCGGGGGAACGGAACTGCTGCTTCTATTATCTTCTTTCCTTTGATAATAAAAAAAACTCGATGGCATGCGTGAGTCAAGTCTTGTCGTTGGCTACGTCCTCGTCGACCGTGACACGATCCAAAATCCAAGAAATGCGACGGGTCGTGACCTTTCTCCATCTTCTTTCCCCGTTCTGCACTTCCTCGTCGGGACGGGGAGAGAGGGGAGAGAGAGAGAATCGCCGAAGCGGGAAAATGCATTTGTCATAGGGAAGTGAAGTCAGACGTCACAGTCACAGTCGTGCAAGCAACACTGTCTCCGTCATGGGAAAATGAAACTGAAACAGCGTCCCACCTTCTGTCTCTCGGATACAAATGATTTTTTTTTTACCCGCTCTTCGTCTCCCTTCGTCCGAAAATGGCTCTAGCCAATCTCCTCACACCGTGACAGATGATTCCTCGAGTCATTCGTATTCATCGGCGGGAGAGCCTGATAAATGGCTCCAACGAGCTGACACGAACGTAACGGTCAACAAGCAATTTCATATGTCAGTGGACGCATGCATGCATTTCACCCCATCTCTCCGCGGGGCAGCGCGATGCAATTCATCGAGGCTTCGTCATAATGACGTTAGCAGGGAGAGGGAAAGCGACGCTGGGGCAATATGGACTTAATGGCGCGGAAGTCCGAGGAATTAGGAGCAATTTAAGCCCCTAATTAAGGAATTACTTCCCGACGCTGGCCAGACGGTCTCAAGGAAAGGAAACAAAACAAAAAAAAAGAGAGCGAAAAATCTGCTCCGTGCTCTGTGCGTCCCACTTGAAAAGCCCATTAGCCGGGTCGGGAATGGAGATCTATGGAAGACGTAAATCCTCAAACTCCGCCTTCCATCCAGGCAGCCACACGTGTCTCTCTATCTCTTTCAGTCTCCCTTTAAAAGGGTTCTTTTTTTTTTCGGGGGATGAAAGTTCCAGATGGACGGAATGGAAAGGAAGGGCGACGGGGCCCGCCCACGTCATGCCCACTCCTCCCAATCGACCGAGACCGTATTTTGGGGATTGTGGGTCAATCGCCGGGTTCCGATAATTATTGTCACCGAAGGGAAAGGTCTCTCTCGTGCGGGTAATATGGGCTTTTGCATGACCGTGATCGTGGGCGACTCGATCACGTTCCACATCCACTCGTACATTCATGACTGGCTCGACCTCTCGGGACCTTTCGCTCGAAACAAAGTTTCACGTATTCCTCATCCATAAAAATTAGCCTGTTCGATTCGACGAATCGCATTGTCGCGACGGGCCCCTCTCATTATGTGGGCTCCGCCCAGTTCATCAATAGAAATGAAGACGCGCAATGGGAAAGTTTTGTTTGCCGAGAGACATTACACTCTCCATTGAAGATGAAAGGAGTGGCATGGTTTATGATGATGACTCTTGGGTAAGTGCTTTGTCCACGGATACAAGTATCTGTGGGAACGACGACGAGCCTTTGCTTTCCACTTACGTTCTGCTACTCTTCCAAAATTCCCATTGAAGATCTAAATTTAGGCCTAATATAAAATGATTCAGAAAAGGCCTGCGCGGTTTCACCAGAATAAGGAATAACTAGACGTAGGCTTAACTGAAAGAAAAGCCAGCCTGGCTAGGTTTAGGCTTTCAGCGAATTTGGACCCGAATTCGAACACTTCGGTGCCACCCAAACCAGTCCCCCGTCAAAAATATTCAAATTTATATGTATATATATAATTATGTGCTCTTATGTACCACATGTAACACGTTTCGAAAAGCATGACGCGCGAACGTCACGACTTCAATAAAACGGATCAATGCTTGCAACGTGAATAAAGCGCATTCAATGAAGACTATTCAACCAAAGCCACGAACGTAATAGGCACGTGCGTGGAACGGTTGGGTTTAATATATAAAAAAAAATTCATTTAATGCTTTCTTACACTGTTTTCACCACGTTGCTTGATAACTCCTACGGAATTCTCGCTTTAGAGTATAAAGTCAACTCGTAAAACCAGGTCCACAAAGTGAATCCAAAAATGAAAACTTAGACTTAGTGAATATTAAAGGGAGTTCGTAGGTTCGTTGCCTCAGGGTCCATCGTAGCTCACACGTAGGACCAGGTCCTCGAACTGAAGTCGTGCTTTTTAGATTGGCTCAATGAGGCAGTAGTGAAACAAAAGTTTCGTAAAGGGTCTGAAGTCAACGCGAATTCACCGCACAGCCACTTCGAATATCCACTCCACCGTTAGCCTACGCTTACTACTGCAACAATAACCCAAGGTGAAACAGTTTAACGCTGGTCAAACATCGATAACAAGGAATAACATGCGATACTTCCGCCGGTCCGTCGCACTGATATTCTAGATGGAGAGGAGAGGCGGCAAGCGAAGAGGTGAAACCGTCACTAGCACACGAGCGTAACACGCACAACGAAGTGGAACGCCATGACTGATTCCCGGTTCTCATTGGTCCCTCGTATTTGAATGTACTTGCGGCGCAGAATCCGTTTCTTACCCCACGTGCTCCTGTGTTCCCAAGTTCAAACGACTCTCAGGAGAGGAAACTGTCCTTTGATAGAAAAAACAATACACAGATTCTGTCATTTTCGAAATTTACCTTTCTTTATGAATGGCCTGTGATGAGGTGAGGGGTGAATAGACTGCATGTGAATTTAGCTTTCCGACAACACTACCGAGAATTCTTTGCTAAGATGGCGCCGCCCGGTGAATTGCTTGGAGCCAAAACGAAGTTGTTTGAAGCGCTCGGGAATGATTCCCAGCGATATTTGAAGGAAATGAAGCTGTGGTTTTCTCGTCGGATTACTAGAGAAGAGTTTGATGGAGCAGTCAGGAAGTTTATGTCTCGTGAAGCGACTATCTTACACAACGAATTTCTGTTGGCTCTCTTGGATCGTGTTACAGCTAATGTCGCTAGTCCTCCCAAAAACAACACTCCCTCATGTGTGCCAGTCGATATTCAGATGCCATCCACCTTGTTGTCCCCTTCTGATGATCTTCAAGCCCGACAGGAGAGTGCGGAAAAGATGAAGAGAGCAAAATTGAGGAAGAAGCCCAGACAGTTAAGGTCTACATTTGATCAGCGATTTCAACCTGCAGAACCTGAAAAACCTCTGTCGATTTCTGATTCCATGCTATTGGAACATCCTTTGAATCAGGTGAGGCCTAAAACTTTGGCTTTACAATGCCCATGAATGTTGATTTGTTATTGGGTTTAAGAACCTAAGCGTAGAATATCAAGAGTCTAGTCAAGTCAAGATAGTTAGTGACATCAAGAGGCGATTTCGCCCATTTCGATATCACGTGTCGAGGTCGAGCGTTCCTTAATTTTAGGGTAGGCCTAACCCTCTTAAAGCTATATATTTTTGTATTTTGTATTTTTTTTTTTGACTATCCTAGTTGCTTACTGTCTAGTACCTAACGTCAACATTGCCCCCCACCTTTTTGCCTGTCCATGAAAGCATCTAGTTTCTTCTTAAAGATAATCACAGAAGGGGCAGCCACTACTTCGTCATCTAACGCATTCCACGCGTTCACCACTCTGCAAGTAAAGAATTCCTGTCTCGACCTGAGCCGCACCTGCGGTTTGCGCAACTTAAGTCGGTTACCTCTCGTTCTCTTGCTGTCATCAAACTGGAAAAACCTACCACACTCGACATTATCTATTCCTTTAATTATCTTGAAAGCCTGGATGAGATCGCCCCTCCTTAACCTTCGTTCGAGCGAGTACAGTCTCAGCACTTCTAAACGCTTCTCGTATGATAGTCCCCTAACCTCCTTAATCATTCTTGTGGCCCTCCTCTGTACTCCCTCGAGCGCCAACAGATCGCCCTTATTTGTAGGCCTCCAAAACTGGATGCAATATTCCAGTTGGGGTCTTATCAGCGCCGCATACAATGGAAGAATAACGCGAGATGCCCTACTTGCAACCAACCAACGAATGTAACCTAGAATCCTGTTGCATTTGGCTACCGTCACTTGTTCGTGCAAAGGATATTGAGGATATTGAGTCCAGTGCTCTAACGTTTATGGAAACAGAAGTGTGGCAAACCCTTCTTAAGTGTAGAAATGCCTGATTAGTTCAGTCTTGTGAAACCATCTATGGCATGCTGCTACTTGATGCTCAGAGGTATCTGACCGAAAATAACAGCAGGACAAAGAAGGGCATGCAGAGTTGGTCTCTGCTTCATATTCAAGTAAGGGCTTCATTGTTTGAGCATGGTTTTCTCCCTTGGGCAATTGTGAATTGAAATGCCCTTTCTCCACTGTAGAATCCATTAAGAAATCCCTCTTTGACCTATAATCAGCTCACTGTTGCCTTTGTTGGTATTACATGATTTTCCAGATCTGCTCTTCAAACTTATATTTTGTAGTGATATTAAAAATGCCAAACCCTCTCATTGAGGGTAAGAAGATAGATCTGTTATTAGGGTTAATATAACTTTCCAAACAAAAAAACAGTGGCAAAGGCAAGAAAAAAAAGCATTCGCTGGAACAGATCCAGTCCCAATATTGTCTAACCCTGCTTTGCTCCTGTCCTGCATATTCCCTATGACCATGACTATGACTATTCCTCTTCTTGACCTGAATTAAATCATAGAAAGTGAGCCATATGCAGCTCTGCCTTGAATGGGGCTCAGGATTCTGGGTGATTTTCGCTTCACCACTCAAGGATACCCAATCAATAGTTTCTTTGTAGAATGTTATAGTTGGCCACAGGGCATCAGCAGACATAACTTTGCTCACCCATAATTCATCTGTTTTGTTTCTTTAGAGTCCATTCCTGTTCACACGAGAGAGATGGATGCCGGATGAGGCACTACTGCATGGCCGCTTGTTTGTGGGTGTCTGGGAAATGGGCTTGGAAAATGTGGATGAAGAAGCTGTCCAAATGGTCCATGCCTCCATCTCCCACCTTCTGAAGAACATTCTATCGGCAGTTGCACGGTTGAGAAAAGGGTTCCGAATGCGAGGTGACCGGTTCATGTATCAGGTGGGAGTGGAAGTGCCAAGTCCGTGGCTTCAGTCTACTTCAAAGCTTCGGCTGTATCAGGAACATGGTGTAGAGACTGAAGTGGCTAATCTTGCCGGTGATCAGGTGTATCTACCTCCAGTTCCACCACCTAAGGCAATGGCTGAGCAAAACCATGCATTTGCAGAAGCATGTGGAGCCCAGAGAGCAAAGGAGCTTCGTCCTGTCTCTCTGTTCGACCTTTGGGATGCTTTGCAAGTCCATAAGAACATGGTACCATCTCAGGCTGTGTATTCCCTGGCCATGGAACAGATTGCTTCTGCCATGTGGCACCCAGGACATGAAGAACTACAGAGGCTCAACCTAAAGCTAACTTGAAACCAATCTTTGCATTTGATGCTGTTCATGATGCAGAGTCTTCTCTTGCTGTGATGTGTTATGCTACCAGCATATAGAATCTAGCAGGTTACATGGAGATAAAGTTGCAATTGATGGTGTCTGATGTGTGCAAATGGAGCTGAATCATTTTTTTATTATGTCAATTATCCTCTAAAATTACTTGCACCACCTTGTGCAGTCATTTATAAGAACAGTTTTTCATGTCAAACTCAATTCAAGCAGTTTTGAGTCAGGCATTAAAATGGATATTCCTGTCTTGGTAAAAAAAAATTTATTCATTTCAGTATAAAATGCAGGAGCAGCACAAAGAACAGTACAGTCTGTGGATGAAAGCATGGACAAGATAGAATGAAGCTATTCCCTCAAAAATGAATCTTTGATTTTCAGCAAATTTGTTTCACTGAAGATATGTGGAGAATTAAATAAAGCACATGCCTATCCTATTCCAACAATTGGAAGATTGTCAGGAAATGCAGCTCTCCCAGAAGTACAAAAATAACATCCCAGGACATATGGTCTAATAACGAAATAACACGAGCAGATAAAAGTTATAACTAAGTATAGTGAATCTATGATAGCATGAACATGATAGAGCAGTCACAAGGGAAAACCAATATACACTGTACATGGGCAGGAATGAGATCCATAGCATGCATATGGCTAATCACTGGGAACCATGAAAAAGTCTGTATCTTTTCTCAACACGAATGTAAAGCACATGATGGACGGATACAGTAGGTGTACATCACATTCAAAGAAAATATCTGGAGAACAACTCAGGTTATTCCATATTGCAGTGACTTGATGCATTTCGGGCATGCAAGCTTGTCACCGCATAGGAGATAACAGCTGCTTATAAAATTGGTAGGAGTACTTTTGTCTAAGGCACTGAACTTGTATGATGACTCGATTGGGAATCACAGGCCAATGTACATTCAGGGGAAGATCTGAGCACGAGATAGCTAGATTTGATACATTGGGCAAGGAAGCATCAAGAAAACTCAATGCTACTGTGACCACAAACACAGTAACTTCACCTGAGGAAAGCAAACTCTATCATGAGACAAAGTGTGCAACACACAAGTGTAGACAGACTGGCCATTGTGTAGATGGCCCCACTAAACTGTCTTGGGTCACCTGTAGAAGAGGAACAAAGTCAGCATTGAGTCGACATCTCTCAGACATTACTGTTATTGTAAGACATATACTTGTAACAAACCCATTTGAAATTCCCAAGCAGGAGAAGACATCTTTCCAAATCCACCTTGAGAGAAGGCAAGGACTCGTAGCAGATACCGCTTTCCTGGGCTCAGGTCATAGATGTACGCTTCAAGGTCTCCACCCAAGTACTTTGCCACCATCTTAGCCTCACTAAAATCTTGATCCACCTCCCAGTATAATATCTAAAACGTAAAAGTTTATATTTAAGAAAATATATAACACTCAAGGATAATAAGCTAGAGGGATAAGCTACCTTGTAGCCCTGAACAGGTTCCTCTTCTGTAGTTGTGGAGACGTAACGCCATGTAACACGAACTGAAGTTGGATCAATTGCAAAGACGTGGACAGCTGTAGGAGGCTTCAAGGGAGGCAGCTTATATGTACGTTCTGTAACAATACCATGCCATCAAACTTTCACAAAAATTAATGTGCTTGTGGTGTTTGTAGAGGACAACCCTTACCAAGATAGCGTTCACTTTCAGCACCTTGCCCAGCCAGGTTGTAGGCCATCACTCTCACATAGTAGTAGGTGTTGGGTTGGAGACCAACTATTAATGCCCATGAGAGCTTGGAGCGCCTCAGGTAGTACAAAGCATCACGTTCATCATCTTGCTCTCTCCAGTACTTGATCTATGAAGCCAGCATGAAGCTTAAAAAATGTTGCCAATATCTTTCTGCATAGTAATGAGACAAGTTCCTAAGATATATGATAGAAACTCACCCTATACCCAATGAGCTCTCCTCGAATGTTGTCTCTAGTCTCTTTAATAGGAAGCCATGTAACATTGAGTGATGTGGAGTTGTAAGCCCGTGCAGCAACTTCTGTGGGAGCCACCTGGGGCATCTCCTCAGCACTATAGATGACAACTGGTGCCGAGGTATTTCCAGGTCCAATGGAATTGATGCCCTGGACCTTGACCTCATGGCGGGTGTAAAAATACTTCAATGGGATGGCAACAACATACATTCCTATGTTTCCCATTCCCTTTAGCTCTCGATTTTGCCACTCAGAATCATTATCAAACTCAATACGTCTCCAATACACCTTATAGAAGATGCCTGGTGCATTTTGATCTTGTGATGGGATTGGCTGCAAAAGAAAATTATTTTCATGTCCTTAAAAATTTTGGTTCAAACCACAAAAAGAAAAAATATTACACTTACCTGCCAAGTGATTGTGAGGTCACCAATTTTCCCTCCACCCCCACCAACATTTTTGGGTGCTACATATGGAACATCCATATCAGTGTTGTACTGAGGAGATGGCTCAGATGGTTGTCCATAACCAAACGAGTTGGCAGCAGAGACTCGGAATTCATATGAAGACCAGGGTGAGAGGACATCTCGGATGTAGGCTTCCTTCCGGCCAGATTGGAACAGACGATTGCCTCGCTCTTTCACTTCGATCCCTTGGATGTCTACAAATCAAGGGATATCACTGTGCTTCTATCTTAGTACTGAGAGAAATCCGAAATGAACGAGATACATATTTCAATTCTCACCTTCAACCAGTAAGACCCAAGTGCTATTCCAGTTAGTCCTTCCCTCAATACGGTAATATCGGATGGGACGACCATTGTCGGCACCATCCGTCCACTCTATCCGGGCTGATTGAGCTGTTGTTTCTGTCACCTCTATTCCTCCTGTTTTTCAAAAGGGAGAATTTGGATGAATTCAGTATATTTGCATTCTTTCAAAAAGGAGCTAGTTCATATCTCCATTTATCAGAGTACGAATACTGAATAAGCATCACTGAGTCACTCAGAACAAAACAACTTCATCATTTAGCTTTGTAGCCCCATAGATTAGCAGGTATTGAAAAAGAAAAGGTACCAGGTGGTCCAGGTGGTCCCTCAACAATCAGTCGTCCTCCAGATGAAACTTCTCCAGCAGCAGTTTCAATAATGCAGTCATATCGACCACTCTCATCCAGTGTCACATTTCGTAAGATCAAATTTCCCTGATGCTGTAAAGAAAGTTTAAAAACATGTGCAGAGCATGATTATGGAAGAGAGAGGAAGAAATTTTGTAATAAATGGAATTCCCAGTTCTCACCAGCCGATAGACATCAGACTCCTTCCAGAAATCAATTCTGAGGCCATTGTGAGCCCAGGCATAAGCTATTTCCAAGTTGTCATCATAATTTGTTGCTTCACATGGAAGTACCAACTCTTGATGAATATAAGCTTCTACCAGTTGTGGAGGAGATCGGATCATTGTTGGTGTTGCTGGAAGATCATGAAAAGTCATACAGTTACTTGTCTCACAGCAGAAAGTAGGCTGCCTTGAAAGAGCTGGTGAAACTCACCAACAACAACAAGACGGCCAGAACTTTTTGCATCTCCAAATTCATTTTTGGCAATGCAAGTGTAGGTTCCCTGGTCTTCCAAATAAACAGGCTCAATATTGAGATGTCCATTGGGCAAAATACGCCTACGACCGGTAGATGCACCTGTAAATTGGACAAGTGTATTCCTGAAATGAAGGACAACACACACACACATGCAATGACAGTGGAAACACATCTCAGTCAACGCACCTATATTAGAGTAGCCATCCTTGAGCCAACTGAAAGTGTCTGGGCGAGGTGCAGCTTCAGGATCACAGGCAATTGTCACATTTGCTCCCTCAAGTGCCAATATCTCTGGCTCTAGTGGTGCTTTCTCAAATGATGGTTTCAAGGCTAAGTTTTTAAGACAATGCAACAGAACTGCAGAAACTTTCATTAGGCATGACTGAATGATTACTCTTAAATGGTCACTCACTGAGGACTCTCAATTGCCCAGAGGAATATGCATTTCCAAGTTGGTTTTTGGCCTCACACTGATACATCCCTTCATCTCTCCTAGGATCCAGTTTCGAAATGGTGAGAACATTTTCTGTAATCTCATACCGTTGCTTGTCTTGAGGTGGCAGATCTTCCACTTTGAGCTCCACTCCATCTCTCAACCATCTGTTTAATATCAAACTTGAGTTTTTCCCAAGACATTCAAGTACACATTACAAAATGATACCATGAATGGAAGCTGGGACTTGCCTATACTTGACTTCTGGCACTCCAAAGGCTTCACAGGTCCATGTCAAATCCTCTCCTTTATCCATGTGCATATTGCCCAAGGGTACAGTGAATTCAGGTTTTGCTATAAGGAACAGAGAAATAAAAACATCTGAGTAAGGAATGACCAAACAAGTACAAAATACCTATTAAATCCTCCCTACCCTGTATGCTCAGTGTGACAGCGCCTTGAATGGACAGTTTGGTATTTGACACAGTGCAGACGTACTCTCCCTCATCTTCAACTTCAGCTTTTGGTAAGAGAAGCACTCGATCATGGTTGAAAACTTGTGCTTTGCGTGGAATATCCCCATAACGACGAGTCCAGTTGTACGATGGTACAGGGCTATAAAAAAGTGACAAAAAAATGGATAGGGATGCAACAAGAAGACCTTTACAATTATTCTGGTATCCAGCCAGTATTGGTTGTCACTACTGCCAGTAAATGATGGTATTGACAAACACCTATCAGTACCAGGTAACAAGTATGATGCCCATGAAAATCCTCATGACAGAGACTACGTGTATTAAGTAAACATGAAGAAGTTTAAGTCTAAGTCCAAGTAAATATACACTTACAATCCAAATGCCATGCATTCCATCCGAACATCTTGGCCAGCAATAGGTGTTTCAGGGAATGCTTTGGGGAAGCTGTTTGGGAATCGCAGCTGCTGGTAGTTAGCTGCAAAACAAAGAGCCATCTCATCATGCATTATCTAGCCAATGCTATGAGTGCATTGCTGAAGGGTGAATTCTCCAAACATGGAGAAGAAATGTCTCTCACATTAAAGCCCCACTTATCTGATGGATACTGTTTTCCCTTGGGTAATGAAGTATCCCATATACCTACTCCAGCAAGGAGAGAACCATTCCCTCTGATTGCTCAGGGTAACAATCAGAGATGACAGTAAGTGGTAACAAGTGGAAACAACATTCCCTTGCTTTTTATGGTGTGGGAACAGTGTTCCCATGAGCTTTTCAAGAGGAAGTGGGAATACCATTCCCATACTTCATACAGGAACTTCCTATTCCCAGAGTGGGCTTTGGCAATTAATGACTGCAATATGGAGAGGGAGGGAGGGAGGGAGTTTAACAGCGTGACACAGCATGTGCAGAAATGGTTTCACTTGACCTGTCAGGAAACACTTAATTCCCTTGCTTATACCATTCCCACACTTCTCAAGGTTGAATTTCATCTCTTGCAGCCAATTATAGTGCTCATAATAATCCCACTTCAACAATGCACTTGATGTTATTTGAGGACAGAACAAAGGGAGCCCTTACGGTGAGGGAGAACATGAAGACTAAAGAATGGTCCATTCTTGCCAGTTGCAGAGACATTGGTCTGAACATTACAGCTGTAGTTTCCAGCATCAATCCTCTCTAGTGCTGAAATGTACATGTGTCCATCATTTGACACAAATGTGCGCCTGTCCTCCTCTATAAAGTTGGGGAAGTAATCTCTGGACCAGTAGAAGCTGAGGTCTGTGAAGAGTCAAGTTGAAAATAAAAATTTTTGCATAATCAATTGATAGAATGGAAAGAAATGCACTCTTTTTTTTCAGCTACTCACCTGGATAGGCCTGAGGTGGATCACAATAGATGGCTTTACCCCAGTTCTCCTGTCCAAACTCATCAGAACGCTTGAGATTGAACTCAGCAATGTATCCAAAGGAAACCTGGACACTGGTGGAGCGAATCGTACCAAACTTATTTGTGGCCTTGCAGAAGTATTCTCCTCGATCATCAATCTACAAAATGAAGAAACAATGCAGTTATCAATTATTAATTATTCAATCATTCCTTTTCATCAGTTATGACAATCCTTTACAGGCCCAAGAGCACAATGTCATAGAGAGCAGAACAATTACTGTACCACATCACTATTTCTCCAGAATGACAAAATGAGAAGTGGAAACAAGTTCTTGTAATGCCCTTGAAAATGCAGAAGAATCTGGGCCAATTCAGACAAGCACCACCAAGACTGGTGAGAAAATCTGTCTTCCTTCCCCTTTTAGTTCCTCTAGCCTCAGATTCATAGAACAACTGCCAATTTTAGCTATTTATTTCCATTTTCACATATGAAGGAGGACATAAAAGTGCCATGGAATCATCTCACTGATCGTACTTTATGACACAACAGCATTGGAAAGACTGGTCAATGCATGACAATTGCATTGGAAAACACACTGCTGTAGCTTTGACTAATTCTCAAATAAATATTTCAACAGCGGGGAGTTTCTGTTGCCATACCCATTGCTTGCTATCTCCATAAACTAAACTTTCCACCTCTTCCTGTCTACTTCTTCAGATTCAGAATGTGGTTCTATTTTGCCTCACCTCAATCCTGCACACGTTAGTATGCATCACATGGAGATCTCCTAAAGTAAGCAAAAAATATCCGTCCAATGGCACAAGGAAACCTTTTGAAAAGATGAAGCTGGGAATAAGTGAAGGAGGATGCTAGTGAATGCATGCAATCGAAGTCTAAATACACAACTACACTTGCACCTAATTGATCTATGCTCCAAAAAAACCAACATCAAATTCAATTTTTCTCTCCCACGTAAGAGGCCTTATCTTGAGGTCGGAGGAAAGGGGAAATTGTAACATGGAAATTTGGCATATTTAAGGGGGTAAAAAGGGTTGTTTAGATGGAGACAAGGACACAGGCAGCTCTCTTCCAAGAATGTCTTGAATACAGACAAGTTTCATTAGAGGCATTAATGCAAAATGAGGAGACATACAAAGACCCTGAGAAAAAAAATAATTGCATCCCTTTTTCAAAGAACTCCATGATTAAATGAGAAAAAAAGGGGGTGTTTCTCCTTTCTTGGGTAAGCCCTAGAAGGAAATTCACTTTCCCCCCTCATACAACATATGCCACCTAGTCAAAAACAACCTGTGATTTCGCTGTGACGCCTTCTCGTGATGCAGGTGGCCAATGTGTCACATGGGATTGCCCAAAAGTTAATTCCAGATCTGCTAATGCACTTAATCCTCCTCTTTTCGCCAGTCAAACATAACCCTTGCATCCTTACCCTTACCTCGAGCTCATCCATTAACATCGAGGGCAAACGCAACAAGTCCAACACACCACCCAAGAGCTTTAAATTCATGGCGATCACTCACCTGCTTAGGTCTGTTAATGATGAGAGTGCCTCCACTGATCGTGACGCGCTCATCGTCGAGCGGCTTGATCTCCTTCTCCACCAGCACGTTTCCCTCGTACGCCTCCTTGAACCACCCGTACGTCGGATACGGATACCCATCCGCCAGACACCTACAGAGAAACGAGGGCGAAAATTAAGCCGTGGACCATTCGCAAGCGCCGGCACGGTACGACCTCGATGAAGTTTCATCCGTACGTGATCGCAACGTTATTGTTGATGGTCTTCATGGTGAGATCGAAGACTTGCGGCATGGGCTCCGTCACGAACCGGGGTCCCCGAGGAATGTACCTTGGATCAGACACCAGCACCCCGTAATCCAAGGTCCGGTCGTTGAGATTCACAAAGCGCAGCTCCGCCTTATGCACCTCGCAGATGAAATGCTCCCGCTCGCGTCCGGTCACCTTCTGCAGCCCCCACCGTCTCTCCGTGTTCGAATAGCTACAACGACGATGCCCTCAAGACATGACACTCCCATCATAAATTAAATGAAGCTAATCACGACCAAAAGTATGCACACTCACTTATACGTGAGATAATCCCGAGTCGAGATGAATTCCCGGTCGTACTCCCGTTCCTTGAGGAACGCATCTCGAAGGTTGCTGTAGTCCGTGTTGTCGGCGTCATTCACCCAGTGATCCTTGCTCTGCTGACGAGCTCCCACGTACCATGGCCTGTGATGGGGGTCGATGACCCTCAACTGCCTAACGAGGAAACTGTGCTCTTCGAGGGTGTTCACTGCTACTAATTCTGCATTGAAGGACTGAAAAAAAGAGAATGTCTTGGTGCCAGAAGCGACAATTTTTCTTTTCCATTTCAACAGCCTTACTTGGCGATATAGGCAAAGAACACGACTGAAAATATCTTCCTCTGACACATGCACACAATGAAAATGCTTCACATCTACAACCTCATATAGGAGCATATGACCAGCTGCAAGCACAACCAAGCGATGCAAAATAAGCTAAGGTGAAGTTAGTCAACTCTCGTTGATTCGGACGTGAAGGGACCGACGATATCCCCTGATTCATGGATCATTATTCTTAATTTGAAAAAGTGGCCATTCGATTTCCTTGTTTTCTTTAGTCATTTGGTGTACTACAGTATATGTTGTCTTTATTCCTTTTTCCACCCGCACGGGAATCCATACACGTCGAAGAAATTCCAAACCTTTTTAAAAATTTTTGCTGGCGCTGAAAACGAGCTCGAAACGACGGCAAGGTGTTGTACTTTATTAATGCTCCCTAATTTCTCTTCCTGATCTCTTTGAACTAATTGAAGCTTTGGAAAGCGGGGGAGGGGGGGGGACATTTCAAGTTGAATGGGTGAATGTCATCGAAGGAGACACGGAGACGGCAGCAGAATGAGCGCAGTCATCAATCAAAGGAGCATAAGCATGACGCCTACCCTTCAAGAGATCTTTATTTCCGGCCAGGAAAGGGGGATAGGAGAGGTAAAAGTTTTCTCCTTTCTTCCTGTAATAACTGGCAGAGCGAGGACGAGGGAAAGAGACGCTGCCGCTCGCCTTCGCGAGGAAAAAAAAATTCACCAATTACTCTCGGTGGCCTTCTCGCTCCATCTCTGGTCCTTAGAGGCCAGGATTAGTCGGGTAAGGGCGGCCCAGGGGACCGGAGAATGGGTCTGTATTAGAAGGAACTACGGATTAAAGAAGCTCAGATCACCCAAGTAATTTTTAAAGGGCTCCTTCAAGTTTCCGCCGGGACTATTTATCTTGCCCGTACCGAGAAGAGAGCCTGATTATCGACGCCCGGATGAACGAGAGCTGACTGTACTTCCTTAAGAAACAACTAAACTCAATCAGAAGCAGAAACTCAGCGGAACTCACTTGATTCTGAACCAGAGCTGTCTAGATCGGACAAAGCGCTACAATTTGAAATGGGAAACGTTCCCATTCACAAGAGAGAAAAAATAATGGAATGGAGAGATTTTCTAACCTGGCAGTGGCGCCGCGCCTCCTCCCTGTCCTTCATGGGACTCCGCACGAACCGGTAGCAGGAGAGGTCGTACGTGACCCAATTGGGGGGGCAGGGGATGCTCTCGAGGATCTCCGGGGACGTGGGGCGACCCAGCTGGCCCGAGGAGGACCCGAAGAGGGCCAAGGCCACGATGATGAAAAGCACTTTCATTCTTCTCGCGTGTCGGTCATCTTTCCCTCGCTATCATGGGCGAAAAATGCGCAACGATATCAGGATCGTCTTGGTGGTTAACTGGATCGTTCAACCACACAACTATACCGGGTGGCGCAACAAAAAAAAAACGCATCCGGCTTGAGGCTTTATAAACCTACTATAGAATCTACTTACTGGATCACACAGACATCCTAAATTTTAATTCACAACATTTTTAAAGTCTCTAAGTTATTTTGGTAAGCTTCAAAAGTCGCTGAAACTTCGATAATTACGCTTTTCCATGCATCGGGAGGCAGCGGTTTCAGCGCTGCTCTACAGAAGCGTCCCATTTGACGCTAAAAGCCTGCTTCTTATTGCAGTTTTCCATTTGTCTTTCAAAGGAAAAGTCACTGACTTCATGGAAGAGTCCGCAATTTCATAAGCGTCAAATGAGATTTGTTTTGTTTTTGCACCACTTGATACAAGCACCATTAAAACTTATAAGAGTTGGTTATGATGCTGATGGGTATAGAATAAAGTGTTCCAATTCAGACACTTTCAGGTTGGTAAACCTCAGTCTACCACCTCACCCAATCGACAAGTACCAATCATGAACTTATGCACTATTCATAAAACTTTTTTTGCCTCCAAGGAGCCATTTTATTCAGGTGGAATGCAAATAAACTTCATTTTGATCACCTTATGATCATATCCCCAATGAAGGGCATTTCACACAATGATGTAATCCATTTCAACATGGAAAATGGCTTGCTGTAAACCAAAATCCCATAAAGACAATGCAAATGCACATAGCCATCAGCAGCATTGTCTTTTTCTCTAACAAGCACATATGCATTTCTTTCCTTCAATCCCATATTGTTGGTCAGAGAACCCAGACCGAGTGCAGAAAAAAGATGAGTGTCTTTGAACAAAATCCAGCCTCTATACACCTTGAGCAACATGCAAAATAATCTTAGATGATCTACTTTTAACCCATCACTATGACATATGAAAGGGAATCAGATTATGAGACAAGACCAAAGTCTTCTTTTTTTTTTCTCTGTGGGCACCGGGCAGAGAATACCTTCACAGACACAAGGCAGTGTACGTCAATGCTTACCATATAACAAACTTTTTTTTATGGGATAACAGACAGAAATTGACTTAATGGTGGAAAGACCAATGACATCATATTGAAAAAAAAAAATGAATGGGGGCAAAAGCTCTAGAAATGCATGCCATCCCTGCATGGGCCTCATCCTGTTGGACAATGAAAGCAAGATAAAGCACAGACATACGAATATCAGATTTCATTAATTGGCTTCAAGGGGTAAAGAGGATATAGCAAAGGAGGGGAGAGATTAATCCTCGTCACCCTGATCGTGTCGAACTTTTGAGAAATCGAATTCCTGCCCAGTTCCCCGCTTGAAGATGTCCAAGACGTCCAAGCAAGTGGTCTCAAAATGACTTGTGGCATCATAGCTTTTTGAAACGAAGACCTGGGACTTCAGGCCATCCTCAAGTGGCTGGTAGACATCATACACCTTCATGATCCTGTGTGCAATGTGTCATTGTCAGAACAAATGGAGATCAAAAGTACCCTTTAAAAAGACATGACCTGCTGACTTACTTCTGTTTAATGGGGCCAAGAAGGGCAAGACCAGGTTTTATTTCATCCTCTGGACGATTGGTTTCCACTGTGGTGGAAACCATGGCAACGAACCAGCCTTTGGCAGCCACGTTATGAGTGTATGAGACGAGGGAGACGTAGATGTCTGAGTTACGCCCCACCTGCTTCTGGGGAATGATGATCTGACACGAGAGGGCATCCTTTGTCCCTGGGATCGGGTGGTCCAGGAGGCAGATGCAACGCATAACTTGACCAACCTAGACATAGATATTCATGTACCAATTGAACACTTTCCACTTTTTATACTTACTAACGCACCCACATCAATCATGACCAGATTCCAAACGTACCTTCTTCACCTTATCAGGTACATATGAAGGGTCACAGTAGACCTGCTTGCATCTGGCAATCTCTTTCTCACATCGCACCCCAACAACATGCCCATCTTCCATCACAATTTCATCTGCAGGCTTATCCAACATGTAAGTGCCCCCATAAATTGCACTCAGCCTGTGGGGGAAAGTACACAAGCATTACAGTAATAGAAGATTTCAATATTTCGGTTCTACTTTGACTGACAATTCAGATTTTGCCTACCTGGCAAAGCCTTGTGGGAGTTCACCAAGTCCATACAGAGGATACAGATAAGGAGACTTTCCATACCTCATCAGAGACTCACTGTACAGCTTTATTCTCATTATTGTATCATATGCTGGCTTGTTCAAGTACTCATCATCCCTAATGCAGAGAAAAATACATTAGTAAACATTGGTAAGCTTTTGTTTTGAAAACTAGGCATACTTAGGAATATCCATGGGCTGAAAATTGTATGACTATTTGCAACCATCTGATACCACTAATCAAGTATAATTCATTTTTGCAATCCAAGAAATACCTCTAGAGGAATACAAAAATTGCAGATAATTTTTGCAAGGCTTGCATCAGTCACTTAAAACCTCCTGTCCTTGTGCCAGTAATTTATAAGACATAAGAGGAATGAGACATTTTAACACATTCAATGTCATTGTTCACAATCAGAGCATAATCAATTATTTTCATTAAAAGTTTTGGCTTGAGAAGAAAAGAACTTAAACAGTAGTTCCTATTATAGAAACTACCTATGGAGTGCCAGAGCATGACCAGTGAAATCTTGAGTGTTCTGATCCAGGTTGAATTTGGCATACACATCCCGCATGGTAGTATTGTGAGGGTCAATGTCCTTCCAAGTCCTCCGATCTTCCAGATTGAAGTCTTGTGCAAAGACGAGGAAGTTCTTAAAACGTCGTTTCTCAAACATGCCCATGAGATCTGCAAGAGGATCGAAAAGTCAGATAAGAAAAGGAAAATGGAAGCAAGAACTCAAGGTTTTGTACAGAAAAATCCAATTTCATGCATGCAGGGAAGGTTCTCACCAGAAGCTAAAGCTTCTCGTTCATCAGCTGGGACTTTAGAAAGCTTGGACCCTCCCTTTCCTAGCACATAGCTCCCTTCCACACTCTTGAATTCCAAGTAACGAGTGACTCCTGTATGGATGAGTAGCTTCACGAGCTGCCCATTTGCCATCAAAAACTTGGGGATCAAATCCACATTCCAATCCCTAAGGGGGATAAAAGGTCCTCATGCATACTGGAGACCTTGGGATGCCCAATATGCCACTCATATCTCAGTCACACATGATAACCATTGATATATTTTTAACATCAAAGATTCACAAATATTATAAGCAGCACAGGACTCACCTTCCTCTCCCATAAGAACCATCTGGTTCAGGAAGACCAAATTGGGAGAAGAGGTCCTCAAGTGGTGTAATGGAAGCTGACTCTCCTCCATAATACTTGTTTCTATCCATGTGAAGCACCTTCTTACCCGACACCGACAGCATCCCACTGATGATGCATTCCTGTGTATGCAGAAATTGAACAATTTCATGATGTAAATCTGGTGAAAGTCTGCTTTTGCTAAGTCTCATCATGCTCTCTACAACTAGGTTAAACCCATACTCAGACCAACAATAAGTTATAAGTTATAAGTGGACCTAAGATAATGTTAGGCGTAGACCAAGCCCACAGAATTACTTCTTTTTTTTCACTCAAGTCACGAGTTTTCACCCAGTCATAATTAGTATGGACAGTACATATTTCAAATGCAACATGCATACTGCAAATTGGTCTTAATATGGACATTGTATATTACAACTGAAGATTTTTTTTAATTACTGAAGCTTATTAGCAGCTAAAACCACTTATTTCCCATAATTCAAAAGTAGTAGGTCACACTATTATAGTATTAATTGGCACCTTAGCTTAAGGTGGCTGTGGGGATTTGCAGTAGAGCTGCACATGCTTATACACTTCAAATATTTGTCCATATTGCACATATCCATATTTGTTAATTCAAAGGTGGCAACCCCACTTGACTCAAACGACTTTTCACTTGAATTGGACATTTTTGCCTGCAGAGTCTCTCATATACAGGTGTCTGAGTTGAGTGAAAAATTGTTTGACTCAAGTGAAGAACGCCAAAATTGCGTTTGACATGTTTACTTGACTGTAATAAAGCTTTGGCAGGCTGGGATACTTTTGACCGCCTCCGTCACACCATAGGCCTACTCCAGTAACTAAAAAGGCAAGTTGCATGTTTTGGTTACTCGTCGGACTCAAGGGAAAACTAGTCAAACTCAGCAAAAATATAAAAAGCCGTTATGTAACTTAAACCGTTCTTACCGTGAGGCCAGTGCCGAGTACGATGCAATCATACTCCTCATCCATATTTGCTACCTGGTCACGCGTTACACTGGAATACTAAACTGTCACGTGGATAGAGATCCGACGGGAGAAGAGGGCCGGTGGATCCTAAGAACCTAAGAGGCCTTCCACAGTCCGAGAGAGCCGTTATGCGAAGGTCTAATGTTAGGCTACTCGAAAATGCTGGCAGCAGCACGGTGGCAGGCTGGGAAGCGGCCGGAGCGATGGCAGCAATCCTCGCTTCCGAGAAGAGCGCATTGATGTCGCTTTTCTGTTTTGCCTTCTCTTCGTCAGATGTCGCATGTATCCTTTCGCAGAACCTCCCGAAACGCTATTGAAGCTTGTGATATCCTTCTTGTAGTAAAAAAAATATTTTTCAGAGGTTTCGCGTCGGCTGATCTTCGTACAAGTCTGATAGAATTCAGCTCAAGTCACCATAACAGGAGAAGCCCTAGGTGAGACAGATCTCTCTGACTTTCAAGCTTTCAGTCGAAAGCTGGAAACGAGTATGCTGCGCTAGTCCATGCTTCTCCTTGTCATTTCCTGGTGAACAAGCCTCAAGCAGAGCCTTATGAACATCAATATTGGGGAAGGATATCATGAAAGCCCCATTCGATATGCCCCCAGCTCAGCTTGATTCACCGGCGATTGTATGGAGATTAAGACTGTGAAGAAACTCCAATAAGAAGTGCTTCCTATTTCCTTTTCACCCGAAAATGCAGAAAGACTGCCGAATTCCTAATTTCCTCAACGATTGGTAGTGGCTCTCTCAAGTCAAAGACATAGAAAGAAGAGATAGTGCTGCTCATTGCTTTCGGATTCTAGTCAAGTTCATATACAGGGTGGCGCAAAAAAAGGTCCACTTTTTAAACTGGTCTAGAACAGGAACTATTGAAGCTTACCCTTACATACGCTTACACTTGCTTACAGCTTACACTTACCCTGTTTCCAAATGTTTCTTTGCACATTTGTTGGGTGAAACAATTGGACTAAAAGTAGGACAGGTTAAGAGAGTGATGATAAAGGCTTTCAGTGAACCAGAGAGACTGCAAGCAGTGGTGGACCAGAAAGGAGGACACATTGAACATTTCTTGAATAAATAAAGGTTTGCTGAGGTGGAACAATCATTTTCCCATCATTTTACTACTTTTTTGGGGGGTATGATTTTTTCAATTGGCCATGACAGCCATTCCATGGCACCCATGGACAAAAAACCATACATTTTTGGAAAGGGCTTGGATTGAACTTTCATTTGCTTTTTTTTTTGAACCTGCTAGCTTCAATAGTTCCTGTTCTAGACCAGTTTAAAAAGTGGACCTTTTTTTGCGCCACCCTGTATAAGATCGCAGTCGCAGGCAGCGAAAAAATAAAATTATTTGATCTAATCTACTCGTCACCCCCCAAATAGGCCAATTAAGTTGCATAGCAGATGGTTTCCGGGAACCCCCCCTCCCCCCCCCCCCCCCCCTACCCCCCAAATAGTGAGCCGAAAATCTCTCCGAAAAGCCTGCAGACGCCTTAGGCTGAATTTTTCACTTTCAGCCGATGAAACATGCCTGACTTCTCCAGGGATGATGACTGTGCCCAGATGCTTGCATCGCGGATATTAAGCCTTGACCATATTCCTTTGATGAGCCAAGAGGAGTTCATGGGGTATCATTAGCTCTTCCCAGTTGGGGCCATAGAGAGGCTGAGTTCGTTCGTGAGAGGATCCGGCCCTGACCGAATGAAAGAGAAAATTGCGCAAAGATAATTTCCTGCACCTGAGGGGGGATGAGGAATATGAATGCTTCATCGTGCGGCTGGGATTCCGCCGTTTTTATCGACCTGATACTCCGGATCGCCGTCCTTGGTCGATGACCCTTGTTTCCACCCGGTCCAGCGGTATTGTTTCCAAAACATCCCATAAAAAGTGTGGAGTCGTGACGTGAGAGGCATTCGACTTGCCGGTTTCGTGTGGGCATGGAGAAACAATAGGGCTTCGAGGCCGGCATCACTTCGGCCATTGGAGGGCTGTAAAACGGGAGAACGGTCGTGTCTTCACCCGCAATTCAATCCATACTCACGGACGTTTCTAATGTGGTTCGATAGATGGCTCTGCTGCGCAAGATGGCGGACGAATGGCAGGTTGATTGATGGTCCCGGTGAGCGAGGAACGTGATTTGTGCTCCCATGGCCTGTAATGAAGTTTTCACACATCTGAGACTTTCTTTTGTCTGAGCATGGAGGACAGGGGAAACGAATCGGAGAGTGTGTCGAATGCAAATAATGTCGTCACGTATTGGATCTCGGATGAAGGGGTGAAATTGATGCCATGGGCTTGCATCTTCGGATCTCTTTGGTGGTTCCGGGGTTGTAATGCTCCCGAGTCCGATGCATGCGACGGTTCTTGCTGTCTTCAGAGGTCTTTCCTCTATCGTCATTCGATGATTAGCAAACGATCGTTAGCTGATGATCGTAGGAGAAACATGCTCTTGATAGTTCCGGCAGTAGTCTTTTAATGACCGTTGTGATGCATTATTAAGTCTCAGATATGGGGGGGAGGGGGAGAGGGGCGGGGGAGGGGGGGGGGGGGGGACGATGAAGGGGAAAGGCGGACAATCGTGAATCCCACAGCAGGGGGGGGGGGGGGGGGGGGGGGGGGGGGGACGATGAATGGCTAAGGCTGACAATCGTGAATTCCACAGCCATATGGACCCTCCCGCGTTTGTTCCAATTGTCCGCAGGGCACACCTCACGTGATCACGTGATCATCTTTCTTCTTGTTGCAGTGAGAACACGAAAGAAGTGGAGTGGCTTGGGCCTGAACATCGTTAGTTGAGAATCCTTGAAATATCGAAGAAGGAACTTGGGTCGATCGTGGTTGGTTCGACCGGAGACGAAATCGAGACGAAACGTCCGATCGGCATGTGAACACCGAGGAACGCAACAGTAAAATTCCATTCTGAGTTTCCTTGGATTTTCTTTTTCTTGGATTCCGTCGGAGGCGATAAGTCCCTTCGTCCCCAGGCATGGCTCGTCTTGCCGGTAGATGGCGATTCGAAGCGACCTGGATCATTGTTTTCATTTCGAAGAGAATTCTCTGAATCACTCTTTTGTGTTCGCTCTGAACCGCCTCTGAATTTCCTGAATCATTTCTGAAGAATTCGAAGGCATCCGTTCGTTCCCGTTTTTTTTTTATTGCCTTAGTTTTTTTTTCAGTTTTCCCTCTTCTAATTTAGCTGCTCGTTTCATATTGTGGGACAATGGGAGGGAAAAACTCGACTTCACCAGTTATTTTATGCCAGCGTTGACGTCAATTTGCGAAGCTCAACGACAAATCCTCTGAAGCGAGTGATACGACTACGATGAGAAGATTCATTGAACATACTCTTAAAGTTCCCTCTCGATCCATCCAAAACCCTTCAGGATTCACACAAATGACTTACCAAACGCTGAGGCAGACCTCAACACCAGAAATGTAACCGCATCGTTTCCACATCATTCTCACCCCACAATCGACTGCTCGCTCGACGCCGAGTTGCAACACAATGCGCAACAGGTCAGGAACTCCATGCAACTTGCTCAATATCGTCTTCTGCCAACTGATACAGCAACATCTTTCCCACGGTCCGGGTTATGTCCACAAATCCTCTTGCAAAAAAAAAATTCTCTCTCTCTCTCTCTCTCTTAGTTCAGTGTTCCCCGAATCTTGTCTCAGAGGCAATCGGCATAATTAAATCGAGAAGCGTGCATGTGACTCAAATCAGCTATCGGATTTTATCCAGGACGATTTTGTGCGTTTCCTCGCTTTGGCGCTTCAACTTCGAGTCGAGTTTGTTTTTATCATCCCCGTTGATTCGGGCGAATTCTCCGTGAATTTGAGAATTTTAATTGCAAAAAAAAAATCCTGGTGTCTGCTCGTCGACGTTTGCGAGAATATTTGAAGCTTCAAACCCTCTTCTTCACACATGGCCAAATTTTTTGCAAAAACTCCGAACATTGTCATAAATTTTTCGGTCTTAAAAGAATTTAAAAAATAAGTCTGATAAAAAGTGAGTTATTAAGAAATTCACATGAGGAAAATCCTTGGATGAAAAATTCTCTGAGACATATTAAGTAAAGGTTAAGTGAAATGCTTAAATCCCCCCCCCGGCACACGACGACCAACGATTCTTCTCGATTATCCATCGGGAGTTTCCAGTGGAAATTCGCTCGGAAACTCGATCGTATTCGTTTTCGACGAGGGGAGTCAAGCCAAGTTTTCAAACATCATCTTCAATCGTTACGGGATCGTTATACTCGTTTTTAACCGCATTACATGTTAGTTATGTGTTGTGCATTATATATGTATATCGAAGTCGGAAGTGTTAGTTTGTGGAACGTGGGTTCGACGAACGAACTTGGTCCCTTCGTCCCTAACCCTTCACTCGTGACGGTGCCAAGTCATGCCGTAGATAACACCCTCGAAAATCCGTCAAGGTCCAAGGTTACGCGGCTCTTAGACGAGTTTACACGGGGATTCATGGATGAGACGAATATTGGTTCGGACACCATAGCGAGGCTGCAATCATGAGCCTTAGGCCTCTTGCGCTGTCTCCAGTATCGATCGTATCCCATCGTCGTCTGCTACAAATCTCGGGGGAGGGGGGGGGGGGGGGGGG